AACATTCTGTGTTAACTACATTTCAATAAATAAATAAAATGATAATGGAAAACAAAGAAATACTGATTGTTAGACAGCACTACAGAACTATGCAATACATCTAATAAATCTAGGGTGAATATCAAGCTGAACTTGCAATAATCATCCCATGTGATTTTTAAGTTCCTATCCAATTTGAAAGCCACTACTCTAAAGTGGCTACTATGTGATCTACAGAATTCCAATTGTAACTACTATTCTTAAACATTTGTGGGCATAGTTAGTTCTGTATTACCAACTGGTAAATATCACCTAATTTGTGCGTGGAGATTTTGTTCTTAATAATATAGAAAACAACTTCATGTTCATCTCTCTCTCTTCAAAATAGTATAGGAGAATCAGATATTTACCTATAGGAAATATATCTATATAATTACGCAAATATTTCATATATTTGGACTTCAACTGTTTCTTCTTAGAGGTTCACATAAAGAAAGTATAAATTAAAAAAGTAAAAAGGCTTAAGGTGATGGGCACTTGGGTGGCTCAGTCAGTTGAGCATCTGACTCTTGGATTTTGGTTCAGGTCATCAGGATCCTGAGACTGAGCCCTGAGTTGGTCTCCATGGTGGGTGTGGAGCTTGCTTAAGATTCTCTCCTTCTGCCACTCCCCCTCCCACCCCCCTACCCCCAAAATGCTTGCATGTGCACTCTTTCTCTTAAAAAGGAAAACAAAAACAAAAAGGGGGGCTAAGGTGAAAGATGTTGATGTTTATTGATAAGAACAATGAAATTCCCAAGAATGATTAAAAGGTGTTCTGGTCAGCCAATTCCAATGTGAAGGGGAGTTGTTTCCACATTATCAACAAGCAATGCACTGGACATCAGCTGGGTAGCCTAAATTCAATTCCAATCTGATATTATCTACCCAGAGAGAGCAACATATTCCACAGATAAAGGGCCTGCTCCCACAAAACTGCCCTCTATTTTGGATGCTAACTGTAAGCCTAGGTTGTTGTTACCTGTGCTTCTGACCATACAGAAACATGGGATGAGGTCCTGAACAAAGCAGCTTCTGTCCTTCTGGCATTTGGGGCTGGCATAATGGCATGTGAAAATGTTCTGGAAGCTCTCTGAACCCTCTTCTTCTTGGGTTTTAACAGAGGCTTCCTTACATAGAAATGATTAAATCACTGGCAATTGATTAAAATTCCAGCTCCCTCTCCCAACATTGGTGGGACTGAAAACTTCAACCCTCTAATTATAGGACTGGTTTCCTTGGCAATCAGCTCCCATCCTTAGTTGCTGTCCAAAAGTCACCTCATTAATACAAATCCAGTCTTGGTAGAAAAGTGCTTGTTACAAATAAAGAAGACATGCATTTCACCTTCATGGCTCTGAAACAATTTCAGTAAAAGAGGTGAAGAGAGAGAGAGAGAGAAAAAAAAAAGAGGTGAAGAGACCAAATATTATGACGAAAGAAGATTCTATAGCTCTTACCCTCAGGACATTCCAAGGGCTTTGGGAGCTTAGGGCCAAGAACTGTGGATGAAAGCCAAGTATATATGAGAAATACATTATCTAAATAATGAAATATACATTTCTTATAAGTCACAATATTGCAATGATAATGGAGAAAGGGCACAATTTGCCAGGTAAGATGGGTAGAAGGGAGCAAGAGTAGTTTTCTAAGGGAGAGACAAAGAAAAGAAAGATTCAAACACTGCAAGAATTATTTTAGAAAATCTTAAACTTCAATCTTTACTACAATCAACATTAAGAGGACCCTGACTCGAGACATGCTATATATATATATATATAGGCTTGTGAGATACTAGAAAACACGGAAATATGTTCTGACACCAGACAGGTCTTTCTTTTCCCCAGGAAAAAATATGATTATCCTGTCATATTTCATCATCATAATATTTGCCATATTCATTCACCACTTACCATGTACCAGGCACTAGTGCTACCAAATGCAATTTCCAGCTTCTCAGGTAGTTACTATTATACTAACTTATAAACAAAGTCTCAGAAAAAAATGAAGTACCTTACCTACATAAGTAATCTGTGGCAAAACTGAGATGTGAACCCAGGTAAGTTATTGTCTAAATTTGTGCTCTTAATACAACATTCTGAGAGGCAACACAACATGGATTCAGATTTTCTCCAATAAGAATCTGACCAGAGATTCAAAAACCCAGATTCTAGTCTATAATCTGCCACCTTGATTACTGCATGGTTTACCTCTCCAGATCTAAATTTTCCCAACAAAATGACAGGGCTGAACTACATCACTAAGATGCCACCCTCCTAAATTGTAAAGGTAAAATTCAATGCAAATATAAAATGGCAACCTAAACAGAAGGAATTCTAGGGCTGGAATTAAGGACTATTTAGTAGGCTCTTTCCTCTATTCTACGTTGCATCCTGAACTAAACCTCTTATTTTCATCATCATTCTACCTCTGAAAAGCTAGAATATCCCTAATCTATTCCACAGGATCAGTCAAGATCCTGTGGGGCAAGGATTAAGTATTAATGGAGGCAAACAGACCAACACTTCCTTCTCTCTTTCTTCCTTTTTTTTTTTTTTTTAAGACTATATTTATTTTAGGTGAAGGGGTAGGGGTAGAGCGAGAGAATCCCAAGCAGACTCCTCACTGAGCATGGAGTCCAACTCAGGGCTTAATCTTAGAGACCTGAGCTCATGACCTGAGCTGAAAACAAGTCTAGCTCAACTGACTGAGCCACCCAGGCACCCACCACCCCCACTTTTAAAATATTTTATCTGTTTATTTTTAGAGAGAAAGAGCACCCAAGTGCACATGTGACAGGGAAGGAGGGGAGGGAGATGGGGGACAGAGAATCTCAAGCAGACTCCCGCTGAGCTTGGAGCCCTACACCGGGCTCAATCTCACAACCTTGATTATGACCTGAGCCCAGAGTCCAAAGCTTAACCAACTGAGCCACCCAGATGCTCCTTTGCTCCCTATTTTTAATTAAATAATTAGGGGCAGGAATGGCCTAACTAGTTTATAAAAAAAGAACAATCTAGTGACTTTTTCAAGATACTGTTACTCCATCTATGTACTTCAGAACTCAAATGCCCTGTGTAATTCAGTGAATGTCCAAAATGTACTCAGTTTCTGATATACAATATGAAAAACTCCATTCTCATTTCTGTAACTCTGAGTTATGTCACTAAACTGCAGTAGTACAAAATAAGTGTTACGGCTAGGGAATCATAAAATTTTTTCAGGGTTAGAGTATGTATGAAGAGCACTTTTTTCAACATTTCCATAAAGTAACCTATCTGGATGGAATGGAGCACTTACATACACTAAACGCTACTATTGTTAGCAGTAATTACTCTCTAATAGAGATAAGAAAACTACCTTAATCCAGAATGTAAATACAAGAAAGAAAAAATAAATTACATTGGTTCTATCCGTGGATTATGAAAAACGTCATCACATTTCATTTAATAATCGTAAAAAGCTCACTGTAGGTAATTAATATTTACCGAGTGTTTATGATAGGTCAAACAGCTTTTAGGGGAACTACCTATTTGTTTTTCATAACAATTCGTTAATTCTAAGACCTCTGGTGTGGGCAAGAATTTCCTGTTACCACAGGTAGATTGAAAGACAGGCAAAGGTTCAAAAGTGAGAAAGCCAGGACTGTAAAACTGTAAACCAGCCAGCTGACTCCAGAGCCAGCATGCTTTAGTGCCTTGGAGATATGAAGGAGAGATTTAGTCTCCGACCCAGTGTCAAGTGGGTAAACTGAAAAATTTGATCTCGAGTTAATGTTCTGACTTTAATCCAGTGCATTTCCCATTACACCTTCCCATTCTATAATAAACAATGTCACATTAAAATTTCCTAATGACCTTGTGAGTTTTGTACCATTCCTAATTTACAGTTGAAGTGGAGAGTGATCACAACAGGTTGGGAAACTAGATATGGCAAGTTTAGAGAATCAGCACTTAAATGCGTTGAGATCTTGAGCAATCCTATCTAAAAATCCATAGTAGGGGGCTAAAAGGCTCTCATGTTTAAGAGGCACGGAGGCACGGACCAATTCCAACCCTAGTACTTCACTGTCTTCCATCATCTTGGCATATCTCCAACAACACAGGCTGGAGCAGTTTATATCTCAACTTCTATTACAGTTTTAGTGAATATTTTATTTCACTTTCGAGTACGTGAGTTCCTTACCTACAGGGACGAGAGTTCACCTACCGTGCACGTATGTAGGAGTCACTCAACAAATGATCGAAAATCATGCCGAATATACAGCTTGCACACTGCAGAAACGACGAATACCTACTGTTAGCCTCGACAATAGATAAGGGGCTGATGTTCGCTGCCCCAGGCAGGACCGTCCTAGCCGCACGTCCCTCTTTCGTTTCCGATATAAATGCAATTTCAATGAATGAAACAGAAGTAAAGGCGCCGCAGTAATTCAGAGTACGGGAAGCAAATAACCGATAGGGAGAAAAAGCGTGGAAGATCAAGTAGGGAGGGCCTGGAAGAGCTAGCGTGCACAGGTGACAGGAGTAAGGGATGCCCAGGGGTGGGCTGCGCCCTACGCAAAGGAGGGGACCCGGGCTTGCGAAGAAAATGACGTGCCTTTCCGAAACCGCAACGGCAGCAGGGGTTGGTCCTGGCACCGCCCGCACCCCTAGCCCGGCAGAAGCGAGTCACTCACCCCGAAGACAGGCTACGTAGGGCCGCCCCCAGGGCCGCCGGGTTTCGATTCCCCAGTGTTTGGAAACCGACCGAAAACAAACCGGGTCGCCAGGGGTCACCACGGGCTTCCGGTTTCCTCGAAGACACCGCCGCTTCCCCAGAGAAGGCAGACGCTCCGGGAACGCCGCGGAGGAATTCCCATTTCTTAAGCCCTGGCTGCGCCGCAACGGGCGCAGCCCGGCCCGTCCGCGGGGGCTCGGGAGGTTCTGGAAGGAGGCCCGACCCAAAGCCGGAGAGGCCGAGCCGCTACCAAAGAAAGCCCGTTACCCAGCAACACGCGCGCGCCACCCGGGCGCTCCGGCGCCCGCCTCCTCAGCTTCCGCTTCGGCTGACAGCCGCGTCGCGTTCCGCGGAGGGGAAGCGTGGTCGAGGGGCGCCGCAAGGGCGGAGGAGCAGCGAACGGCCGGAAGTGGGGCTCCCTCTATCCTTCGGCTGGGCGCCGAGACCGCGCGAGCGGACCGGAAGTCGGTCCGAAGGGAGCCGAGAGGGCGTTCCCGAAGCCGGGGCTTTGAGGGAAAGGGGGGGGTGGGGTGGGGGGTGGGGGTGAGGAGGAGGGGGGCGCGGCGTACTACGCGTCCCGTGAGCCTCCGCGGCGGGGCGGGGCGGTGGCACGGCGACGCCCGGAGGCGGAGGCGGAGGCGGAGGCGGAGCTGGACTTGGGTAAGCGTTTTACCCGCCGCTGTGGGGGTTAGTTTTCCGCCTTCCTCCAGCGAGTCCTTTGCGTTCGGCGTCCGCTTGGGGGTCCCCGAGCGTGTGTCGTGCGTGTTGGGTCCGCGCAGTAGCGCCCTTCCGTGTTTCTGTCTCTGCGGCCTCCCTGAGGCCCGCGGCTGGGCGACTAACGACGACGCGTCCGGGGCGGCGGCAGGAAGTGGTTGGAGCCCCCACGTCCTCTCCTGGGCGCTGCCGCGGAGCTGCGTGCCGGCCTGTGAAGCGCGGACTCGGCCAATGACTTCCTCAAGGTCCCATAGTTCCTCAGCACAGTGCTCTTAAAAAAAAAAAAAAAAAAAAAAAAAATCTAATTCATTGAGTTAGGGCAGAGCTCTGGGAGGTGGGGATGGTACGCGGCTGCCACAGCGTTGCTACCGCCTCAGGTTATTTCTAGATGAAGGCTCAGCCGCGGCGTCCCCGAGCGAACTCCTTACTGTCTTTGCTGGGCGCAGCCCGGGAGAGCCCCTCGAGCTCTGGGGCTAGTTCTGGTTAAAGATGAATAAATAAACGAGAAAATGGCAGTTGGAGACCGTTTCTCTTCATTAGCCACCAATTAGCAACAGTGACGCCCCTCGCCGCCCCCTCACAGAGTAATTTTGTCACCTGGAGGCTTAAATAGGCGTCCTGTTGGGCGATGTGTTCACCGCGCGTCTGAACTCGTCAGCCCACCAGTCCGCTCTGATCAAAGAATGGACTTTGTTGTTGTTGTTGTTGACCTTTTCGGTTCAAGTAAAGTTCGCAACTATGAGGACAACAACAACGACAAAAAAGCCACACGCAACTTAAAGTTACGTCGTATTTTTAAAATATTTTCGAGTCTAAATATAATAAGATCATTTGCTTTCAATGCATCGGGCAGGGGCATGGAAAAGAGCAGTGTTTTAATATTCTGGATATGAATCATTAATTTTTTATTGCCTTGGTAATGCGCTTTGCGAATTTAAAGGCAGGCCGCCCGCCGAACTGGATGTTTTGGCTAGTAGAGTTTTGAGGAATATTCACAGAATCGGCCGAGGCACCTTAGATCATCAGAAATAAGATGATAATCTGGTTTCTAATTAGTAAATGTGGAAATGTCTTCCGTTTTCAACCTTCATTCACAATCTAGGATGATTTTGAGGCTTGTCGAAAAATAAGGGAAATACACTTTTATCCTTCCTAAGGAGAAAATGGCTTAGCCCATTATTTTAAAGTTTATCCGATGCGAGTCTATTTTTATTTTAAAATACACGCCTCACTATAATTATGAAAAAGGTGGGTCTTAGCAACAAAATTATCTTTGTGTTAAGATTATTTTCTCCCATACCTCCTCACACCTGGGCCCCCAGGAAAAAAATGCGCGCGCGCGCACACACACACACACACACACACACACACACACACACACACACACTAAAGGTTACGAACTACCTGAAGTCGTGACCAGATACACTGTATATCCAAAACTGTGTTTTCTGAAGCGACAGTCTTCAGAAGGGGAGGGGTCAATTAGGTATTCCTAATCCTTAACCTTAGAAGGTACGTGGAAGATTTCAGTACACACCCTTTATATAAATGATAGCTTAAGGGTGCTAATTCTCAGGTTGTCCACTTTCTTCCCTAAAATTGATCTGCCTCAGAGTGTGCGTGAATCAGACACATTTCTCCCTTCCTCTTTGGTAATTGTCCCTCTCCCACTCAACAAATAAAGCAATACCTTTAAACTGACCTAAATCTGTTTACAAAGTGAGTGATTCTAATGACTGGGTAGCTCATTCTTTTGCAAAAATGGCAGTTTCCAAGGGCCTTGAAAAATATTACAGGATTTAATTGAGTTGTCAGCTGACCATTAAAAATAATTTTTGATGACATACCTCTGTGATTTTTGGTACACAGCTTAGTAATTAAAAAAAAATGATTACTCTTATTTATAACCAGAAATCCTTCTGCTCCCAAATACTTGGAATGGAAGAATACAAAATAGAAGAACAACTTAACCTGTTTCTTTCTAGCAATGAATAGTATTCATCCTTGATACATGACCTAAGTGGGTGTTGGGGGGAGAAGATCCTATCTATTTCCTTATGAGATGCATTTTCAATAATAACTGACTTGATATTTTATAATGATCATAATTTGTAATATGTTATTTGATCAGTAGTAGTCTAGTAATGATAACAATACTAAGGAAAATTTTTAGAACTTATGTTCTCAGGAATTTTAAGATATTTCTTTGTTGTCATTAGAGGAAAATGTTATAGGATGGTCAGTTTAAAATATTTTCAAACACTAAGATGTTAGGATAAACTTATGGGAAAGAAGTGAGGTAAAAATATGAACTCAAGGAGAAAAGGACTGATAATCAAGTTCCTAACTGTAAAAAGAGAGCTCAGTCATGTGCTTTATGATGAGATGAATAATAATGGGTATCAAATTACTATGGTATTTACATTTCATGTATAAAAGTGTTATGCTACTGTCTCTAGTAACTAGCTTTGTTCTGGACAATCTGTGCTTCTTAATAACTTTTTGACTTGAAATGCTTTGCATTCAATTAGCTTCTGACAGAGCTTTCATTTCTTAAAAAATAAAATGTGAATGTCATAGTTGTAAGCACAGTAACTAAGTGTAGTGATTTTCTTTTGAAAACATATAGGTGAAGAAAATTTTGATAGCCTTGGAAAGTCCTAAAGTAGAGAGAAGAAATATAAGGACAGCTAAGAGAACAGCAACAGAGAAGCCAGAATGGAGTTAGTAGATTGTACAGAGAAAGAAAAAAGACCCAGTGGAAGGAATCCTATACTCTTATTAAATGAAGTAAGAACAATTGTCCTCTGAGCCTTGACAGTATACCCTAGCTTTTGGGGATATCGATTCATTAATTTGTTGCGAAATTAACAAATACTTAGCACCTACCATACGCTAGACATTGTGTTAGCATTGAAATGAAACAGGCAAAATGACTTTTTAATGTATAAAAAAGTAAAATCTATCACGGGGAAATCAGTCACATAGACAAAGACCTATGTGAAATTCAACAAAATGACAAGCAATTCCCTCCCATTAATTTTTTAATGATAATTTCTATATGTGCCTATGAAAAAAATTTTTTCCTATTTAAAATGGAGGAAGAAAGAACTCTGAGGCTTTTACGTGTTCACTATAAAAACCAAGAAGAGACAAAGTCAAGTTTGTTGGAGGAAAGACATTTTATAAAGCTACCAAGTAAAATGAAAGGATGACATTAAGCTTCTCTAAGGTCTGTAGAAAAAAATTAAGCTAGATTTTTAAAATAGATTATGAAGTAAAGGATAGGGAAATTTCCAAACCCATTACACAACCCATACAAGAGTGAAATTGTCGGGATCCCTGGGTGGCGCAGCGGTTTAGCGCCTGTCTTTGGCCCAGGGCACGATCCTGGAGACCCAGGATCGAATCCCATGTCGGGCTCCCGGTGCATGGAGCCTGCTTCTCCCTCTGCCTATGTCTCTCTCTCTCTCTCTCTCTCTCTCTCCCCCTCTCTGTGACTATCATAAATAACTAAAAAATTAAAAAAAAAGAAAAAAGTGAAATTGTTGAATTTATAGTAGTTGGAAAGTTAAAGACATAATTTCCTAGTGTAGATTTTTAAATGGTCTATGAATAGTACATTAATTCTTTAAAATACAAAAAATACATGTTTTTAATTCACTGATAATAATCATTTAATCTATAATCATTTTATATCAATCCCTCGTGGCTTTAAAAAGCTCCTTCCTCTCATCCCATAGCCAGTCTGTTCCTGCTTTTATGGATTCTACTCCTTAGCTATCTTTCAAATTCTGTTTATAATCCCTACTGTTCTACAGTCTCCTATTTGTACTATTTTAATAGTTCCTTCTAATTAGTTTTTTTCTTTTTTTGGTTAGCTCATTCTTTATATGGATATCTAAATGATCTTTTCCCATTGTAAATATTACATTTCTCCTCTTAAACTGGTAAAATGACTCCTTAGCGTGTTTTAGAAAGCCATTCTTAAACTAGCCCAGCCTATTTTTCACCAGCTCCTAGAAACATTGCCAACTCAAGCATTGAAATTGGGTATCTTTGTTCATGTACAAAGGTAGCATTCAGCTGATACTGATTATGATCTTACATGCTTTTTTTTATCATTGATATTACTTAAAAAATTTTAAATTCTCAGTTAATTGGGGAACCCTGGAAAGATTCTCCAACATCAATTTGAGAATTATGGCTCTACTTAATATTTGTCTTGGAGTGGAATCACATAATGGGACCCTGGGTGACTCAGACCTTGATTTTGGCTCAGGTCGTGATCTCAGGGTCCTGAGTTGGATGGAGCCTTGCATCAGGCTTCATGCTGGGTATCGAGCCTGCTTAAGATTCTCTCCCTCTGGGGATCCCTGGGTGGCTCAGCGGTTTGGCGCCTGCCTTTGGCCCACGGCGCGATCCTGGAGTCCCGGAATCGAGTTCCGCGTCGGGCTCCCGGCATGGAGCCTGCTTCTCCCTCTGCCTGTTTCTCTGCCTCTCTCTCTCTCTCTCTCTAGGTCTATCATGGATACATAAATAAATCTTAAAAAAAAAAAAAAAGATTCTCTCCCTCTGTCCCTCCTCTTCTGCTCTCTCTCTCTTCTTTCTTAAGGATTTATTTATTTGAGAGAGAGAACGTAAGCAAGTGTGGAGAGGGGCAACAGGAGAGAATCCTCAGGCAGACACGCCTCCCCCCCCCCCCCCCCGAAGATCACGGTGCCGACAGGGGGCTCCATCTCACAACCCACAAGATCAAGACCTAAGCTGAAACCAAGAGTTGGATGCCTAAACAGCTGAGCCTCCCAGGCACCCCCTCCCCCAAAATAAACAAAGACCAAAAATTGAAATAACATTTAGAAGAGGATCTTGTATCATGGTATCAGAAAGATAATGGATATCCATGAAGATAATGGATATCATCAGAATATATCGAGTGACAATTTTTTGTTACTGCATCATAATTTTTTTAGAGTATGTAGCAGAAGGGTATCATTATTTTGACACCAAGTGTTCCATAGTGAAATCAAAGCTGTTTTGTTCCCTTTGTGCCTAAAATTAAAAAAAAAATTTTTTTTCTCCAAAAATCATCCTAAACTAATACCAAAGTTCTTAGTTCTTCTAAATCTTCATAATGAATTGCATTGCTACTTGTATGTTATTGGTAGGAGTGATTAAGAAAAATTCTTATCTCATCCTACCAGTACTTTTTCTGGAATAATCCAAAGTTTCAATTTCAAGAAGTGTTTCTTTTGTTTCTGCAACAGGACAGTTTGATATATTTATTATCTCAAATGAACTAATACGTTTCAAATACCTATGTTAGATAATATAGAAGTTTAAAGATCAGAGATAAGGCAGAACTAGAAATACCTGGAAATACTTAACTCTACATAGAAAAAAACCAATGATATGTTGAGCTTAATGACTAAGATGACTGCTCAAAACTAAGAGTTTTGGAAGCCAAATTATCTCTTTATTATTTTTCAATTTTGATTTTTGGTACTGTTTAGATGAAAATGAAATAAGTACATCTACACCAGATCTTAAGTGGGGAACTTATTAGCAACAGAAATACGAATTAAATTATCAGTAACACATTCATGAAAAGTGTAATTACTTTTTGACATTGAGTTTATCATTCACTAAGTACATCATTCACTAATATGGAATATTTAATGTTTTGGTCAATATTTTTTATAAAAGTTATGAAACATAGGCCAAAAAGTCTCAAGAGAATGAAAAAAAAATTTTTTTTTGGTCTATGCAACTAGGTAGAGGACAATTACAGTTTTCTAGATAGAGCAAGCTCACCTAAAAAAAAAAAAATACACATATGGAGATCTTTTATTGAGGGGAAAAATATGGCTTGGGTTGAGGATAAAAAGAGGCCAGGGGAAGAATCTGTGCATCTTGATATTAAGTAAATCAGCAGAATATTCCATAATCCTTGTTCTCTAAAAATAAAGCAACAACAAAAATCTTTAAAAGATTATAAATATCTTTCATTTTTATAAAAACTGAGACTTTTTTCAATTTTTTCAAAAGAAATATACAGCAATAAGGAAATTGTCAATTATAAAATATAGGATTAGTCATATTTATATGATGTGTTTATGAAATGTTCCTTTAGTTAAGTAGAGAAAGTGTGCCTTTTTCCATACACAACTAGATTATGTCAGTCTCATGTCTCCTTTTTGCTGAAAAATAATAAAAATTTTAAATATTGGTAACACAATCTTAATTTTGGTCATTTCTAATGATATCTTAATAAAAAATACAGGAAAAATAGACTTGACATTCATTTTGTTGCTTTACACACTGAAGGATGATATATTTAAAACCAAATATATCAGTATTACATTAAATATACACAGACTACTCAAAAACTGTCGTATTGGTTTAAGAAAAAATGTACACAAAATAAAAGATCTGTGAAAAACAGTAAAGGATGAAAAAAGTATTGATCATGAATAAACTAAGCTAAAGTAGAAGGTAGCCTGATATAAAATATTAGCATAAGACAAAGGAGACTTTCAGGAAAAAAAAAAAGTGTTGCTTCCACCTGAAGATAAAAAAAAGTCTGTGTGCGTCTCATAAAACAGCTTTACAGTATATGAAGCAAAACTAGATAGAAGAGATAAACACACAATAATGGAAGACTTTACCTTCTTCACTGATAGAATGAAAAGAGAAAAATACATTAAGGAAATAGATTATTGGAATCAAAATTATTAATATCACACCCACTAGAATGACTATAACCAGAAACAAAAAAAAATGGAAAATATTTATCTTAAAATTAATATGGAATCCCTGTATCCAAAACAATTTGAGAAAGTGGAACAAACTGGAAGTTTCACATTTACTGACTTCAAAGTGTGTCACAGAGGTACAGAATCAAAACAGTATGTCACTGACATAAAGACATATAATGTATGATATATGAATCAGTGGAAGAGAATAGAGGGCCGCCCTGCCAAAACCCTCATATAAGTGGTCAGTTAATTTTCAGCAAAGATTCCAAGGCCATTCAATGGGAGAAGGGCAATTTTTTAACCAGTGGTGTTGGTTTTGGGAAAACTGAATATCCAAATGTGAAACTATGAAGTCAGACCCTTACCTCACATCATGTACAAAACATTAAGTAAAAATAGATCAAAGACTTAAACTATAAGAGCTAACACTGTAACAGTCTTAGAAGAAAAATAGGGGAAAGCTTCATGGTGTTGGATTTGGCAGTGAGTTTTTGGATATGACAACAAGCACAGGCAACAAAAGGAAAAATAGGTAAGTGAAGGTCTCTAAAGCACTAATACACAAAGTCAGCTAATGACTCTAATATTGGAAAAATAATGTGATCTTTACTTTGAATTTCATTAGAACTACCTAAATATATAATTGAGGAGTAGGGCAGCCCGGGTGCCTCAGCCGTTTAGCACTGCCTTCGGCCCAGGGCGTGATCCTAGAGACCCGGGATTGAGTCCCTCATCAGGCTCCCTGCATGAAGCCTGCTTCTCCCTCTGCCTGTGTCTCTGCCTCTCTCTGTCTCTCTCTGTGTGTCTCTCATGAATAAATGAAATATTAAAATATATATCTATAAAATATGATTTTGTTTGATTTTTAATCAATTAAAAATAAATATATATTTTAAAATATATTATGATTTTGTTTGATTTTTAATCAATTAAAAAACAAATATATATATATATATATATATATATGCTGTTTGCGGAACTGACCTACACTCTGGCCACAGAGGAAGCTGAACTCATTGGCGTCGACTACGTGGCCCGAATGACAGCCACGGGCAGCAGCGAGAACTCCACAGTGGCCGAACACCTGATAGCGCAACACAGTGCCATTAAGATGCTGCACAGCCGGGTCAAGCTCATCTTGGAATATGTCAAGGCCTCTGAAGCGGGAGAGGTCCCCTTTAACCATGAGATCCTGCGGGAGGCCTATGCTCTGTGTCACTGCCTCCCTGTGCTCAGTACAGACAAGTTCAAGACAGACTTTACGATCAATGCAATGACGTGGGGCTCATGGCCTACCTTGGCAACATCACCAAAACCTGCAACACCATGAACCAGTTTGTGAACAAGTTCAACGTCCTCTATGACCAACAAGGCATCGACAGGGGGATGCGGGGGCTCTTCTTCTGAGAGGGTACTTGAAGGGATGATGCACAGGTTGGACAGTGGTCCCACAGGGGAGGGGCATCACACTCCCTTTAGAGAAACCTCCTATTGATAATAAAAGCGGAGCAGCCCCTCAGCACCCCTAAAAAAAAAACTGGGTATGAGCTTTAGTCAAAAGAAATGGAGCCCAGGAAGCTTCAGCACAGAATATATTAGAGAGGAGTCCACAATGGAGATGAAAATCAATCTTCCTAGAAAGATGATGGCAAGGCTGTGAAGGCCCTAAATGTAAGATGGAGGGTGAATATGAGATTTTTGGAAGTCTTTTATGAAACTAATGTGCCTTGTTGTCTTTTCCATTTCATCATGCAGAAAAATAGGGAGCTGAGAGTCTCCTCTGAGGCCAGAAGAAGAAAGGACTTATCTAAAGAAATTGAAAATTGAACAAACTGGAAAAATCCTCTAGCTTGTTTCTTTCCAGGGTAAGAATTCCAACTTATGCCTATTCTCACCAAGTCATGTTTACTTTGTGAATTTAGAGGTGATCTGTTGAAGAAGCATGCTCTCATGCTTTTACATCATGCAGTTTAAAATTACTTCAATTTTCACATTCTCATTTTAAAACTCTTTAGTGATTCATTTTCTCAATATTTGTGTAGTGATTCTTGAAACAGTAATTATGTATGTGCTCACTAGCACCCAGAGTAAGAAAGCCATCACTCTTTATTAAGTTATGACACTTATTTCTAAAATGAGGAACGTAATGACAATGTATAAATCATTTCGAATGACAAGTTGAAATTCTCTAATTAGACTAGCTTGAGATTCTATTCTTGTGTCTTATGATTTAAGGGAAGTGGTGAACTTAAAGATCGTTCTTCCACAACATTAGTGGAACAAAATTTTACCTTTACATAAATCAACTATATGACTTCCATGGCAAATAGCTTAAAGTCATTGAAAATGGGCACATGTAAGGAGAAATAACCAAGCCCACCAGAAATCAATGCTCTCTTTGTTCAACCTACAGATAGAATTCTAATCCATTTATATTGCTATTGTATTTGGTAGACTGTTCTGAAGAACTTAATTGTAATTATCGTTGGATCTGTTGTTTCAATATATTGAAAAAGTCTCAATATACTGAATAAACTAGGATACTTTTAACCAATAAAGACTTAAATCATATAGATCGATTATTAAGATTTGAAGTTAGCATTTAGCACAATTTATCAGATTTCTAATTATTTGTTAACTATTCCCTTAAAAAATTTTAAAGCTAAAGCATATAGTTGCTGTAACAGATAGCAGTTTTTAATTATGCCAAAGGCTATTTCTTTCCATTCAACTTTGATTTCTGATTTTGGATGAAATTCATTAGTTATCTTAATATTAAAACAAAAGAAAAAAGAAAGAATAGCTTTTAAGCATCTCGAAGCATTTATTCAGCCAGAATCTATCCAGAAATATCTGCATAAACTAGTACATGAATAATAAAGCTAAATTACAATTTTGAACAGATAATAGGCTCTTAAATTTCTGTTGAATCAAGTATAATCTAGGGTTGACTATAGGCACAAATTTGTTAATTAGGTAAATGAATGAACAGTGATTGTTTACATCACAGGGAAGATTAAAGATAAATGTGGGACACCTGGGTGGCTCAGTCTGACTCTTGGTTTTGGCTCAGGGTCCTGAGATCCAGCTCCACCTGGAGCTCTATGCTGGGGGATCAAGCCCGTTTAAGATTCTCCCTCTGCCCCCACCATTGCTTATGTGTGTGAGGACTCATGCACATTCTCTCTCTCTCAAATAAATAAACAAACAAATAAATCTACTTTAAAGTTTAGAAGCAAACTAAATTGAGTACTTGAGAAAAATCATTATGGAAAGATGAAATAATTAGAATACATTCATTCTGCTTTGGTTTCTGCATATTTTAATTTTCTATCTAACTATAAATAGACGTTGCTTAAAAGCAGTGTAGAAAGGAAATCAAACATTTATTATATGTCTTCCGTGTATCAGATACTGAAATGCGTTTTTATGTTGTTTCATTTTATCACTAAAACCATCCTATGAATTAAGTATTATTATGATCAATACATACAGATGTAAAATGATGCTCAGACTTAACTGACTTGCCTTAATTTAAAAATCTCAGGAAATGGAGCCAGAATTTAAGTTTAGAGCTATAGAAAATATTCAGTTGATACACACATCCATCCTGGTTGTTAAATGTTTGAATATCAACGCTGCTTGGGCCAGTCTTAATTCTGAAGTTCATATTATTTCCATTATTTTATAGTACTCTAAATATTCAGTGCTTTTCTTTCACAGGAACTTTTTTAGATGTTGGGATACAGTGGTTAACAAGATTATACGAACCTTGCCCTAAGTGGCTTTTCAATTATCTTGTAGAGGACTTCAAATTATAACACAATGTATTAAGTGATATGCTAGGGAATTGAGAGTTCTGAGGGCACATCATAAGAGCTTTGACCCCTGCTTACCATTTTTCAGGTTGGTTTAGACATCACCTAAACCTAGCCTAACCCCCTTTACCTGAAACCCTTAGTGTGCCACATGTATTTGTCTCCTACACTTAACATTACTTGAGGAGGGAGTTTTTGTCTTTGCCTGAGCATTATGCCTGTCTCATAGCAAACCCTCAAGAACTAGTTTAGAACTAACAACAAAAGAATAGCTCAGGGTCTGAAACTCTAGCAAATAAGTTAGAGAGCAGTCTTAGATAATATTTTAGGTATTGTGATGACAAGTGATGGAGATTTCCGCATAAAATAGGAGGCAAGTTTATGTTTTGAGAATGAGGAAATGGGGAAGGATTTATTCATAAAGGTTTACAGTAATCACTGTACAGATGCAGGAGAAAGAATACATAGAAAGGATAGCCTTGAAGATGTACTAACAGCTCCACTGAGGTTGGAGTCTTTGGATTTGTAGTGGTACCAATAAGCATGACTACATAATTTCCTCTAAGAATCAACAGCTCAGATGCAGGAAATAAGGGATCAAGCTATTTCTCTTGTTAGGAATGCCCTTGGCCTCAAGTAATTGGAAAGATAAATAGTAGTTTGAAGATGTATGGGTTAATTTTGTCACATATCATGAAGAACAGATATATAGAATGATGATAAGATTCCTAAAATTAAGAACCAAATACTTCACTCCTCAGAATGTTACTATGAGTTCTGCTCTGCATATGAATTGGAAATGGTTTTTCTTCTGTTTTTTTCCTAAAATCTTATTTTGTATGATACTTTTTTCATTAAAATTGATCACTAACACAAAAGTCAAGAAGGAAAATATCTCTTTGTTTTGTTTTCAAACATTTTTTGGTTCATGCTGAATGTTATTAGTACCAGACAACACTTGGACATCATTAATGGGTACATTTTTGTACACATCATTAAATGGGTACATTTTATGGTATGTGAATTATATCTCAATAAAACTGTCAAAGCAAAAGAAATGAAGAGAAAAATGGTAACTTTCTCCCCTATACATAGACTTAAAGAATAGAAGAAAAATGACTATTTGTTGTGGAAGTAATAATATCAAGAGGTTTCTTAAAAAGTCGCTAGGGTGGTGGGAAAGGGCAAATCATGGTAGATGAGGCCTAATCTTCTAACAAGACTATTGAGTAAGTATTATGTTTTTATACCAGGCTCCTTCTCTTCAACCATTTGTGTAATGTATGTCATAACTTGCTCTGATATCACACTTTCCAGCTTGCTCGTTTTCTTTGCATTTCTGTCTTCCTAATTCACAGAAGGGAAAAACAGATACCTACTCAGAGTTGGCAAAATTAGTTTCTCGACTTCCATCTTAATTTCAGTTCCACATGCTCCAATGAGGATTTCTTTCATCTGTACCTCTGACCTTATGTTCATCAATCATCAATGACTTCCATGTTTAAATCCAGTATCTTTTTCTCTGTTCTCCTTACTCAAATCCTAAGCAATATCTAACTCAATTAACTGTTCTGTCTCTCTGGAAACATAAGAGTTGTCAACTTTGATCCAGTTACTGAAGCTGAAAACTTAATAGTCAATTTTGATCACTACCTTTCCCTTATTCTCTACACAGAATACATCAGTGAGTTCTACCTATTTTACCTCTAAGACATATGGAAGCAGTCCTATTTTCTGAGAGCCCTATTTCTACCCAAAACCAAAACATCATATCTTTTCTCAAATCTATTCTTTTTACTGTAATATAATATATTTTAAAATATATACTTTGTTGAATTGTACCATTCATACAAAAACGTGTAAAAATTTTAGATGAACAGCTCACAAATTATCTCAAAGTAAGAGCACTTGTATTACCACATTTAGGGAAATGATGAATCTCTTCTTCTTTCTCATTATCTGTCATGGTTATTAAGACCCTTGAAGAACATTGCCTGCTCCCGAGAAGCTACCTCATGGCCACTCTCAATCACTAGATCCCTTTGATCCAAGTTAACTACTATCTTAACTTTTAACACTGCAAATTCCACTTGTTTGAAAACTGTATGTAAGTGGAATCATGTAATATGTGTTTAAAAATCAAGCTTCTTTTAGTATGTTTCTGAGATTCAAGGTTTGTGTAGAATGAGCTTGTTCTTTTTTATTACTGTATAGTATCTTATAACGTGAGCATACCATATTTCACTTTTCTGTTCCACAGTTTGTAGATATTTGAGTTTGTAAATTTTGGATATAAAACTTGAACATATCTGTTGAGAAAAGTAGATATAGATATTAGATATAGATATTTGTTATATATATATAGGATATATATATATATATATATATATATATATATATATACATATCTCCTGTATCTCTAATGAGTAAATAAAATAAAATCTTTAAAAAAACAAATTTAAGAAGTACATATGTTCAAATTTAGTAGATAGTGAAGAGCAAATTGCCGGTGGACAAACCAGTTGGCAACCCAACCAGATATATATGAGTTCAAGTTCGTTTGTATCCTTGTATCCCAACTTTGCATGTCCTTTCTTTTAACATTGACTTTGCTGATAAGTTTACAGTGTTATCTCATTGTACTTTTAATTTGTATTTCCTTTATGACTCTTAAGTTTGAGGACCTTTTCAAATTTATTGGTCATTTGAAGTAACTCTTTTGTGAAGTGCCTGTTTAAGTCTCTTGGCTGTTTTTCTATTCGATTCTCTGACTTTTTTCTAATTGATAGATATCTACCAGAAATCCTCCCTGCAGTTACTGCCTGTCATACTGGCCTTATTTTTGTGCTTCACTTAGATCCCAATTTTCTTTTTTTCTTTATGGGCCCTATTTTCAGTTTTCAAATTTTAGCTCTCATGTCATCATTTATGTAAACCTTCCTTGACCATCTCCTCACCTCCCCCAACATGCACATCTTTCTATTATATCATCCTATTTTTTACCCCTTAAGCATCTGTCAACATATGAAATTTTATCTTGTTTACTC